TCCCTACCTCTCACTCTCACTCCAATCCTAGTCTAACATCCTTAAAATCCTCTAATATCCTTGAACCAACCATGGAATCCGCAGACTACTAAAAATCTACATTGGTGAACATTCAAGGTACTCATTATCTTCTGGAGAATGGAGTCAGTCTTTGTTTGATTACCAACCCCTGTAGTCAAAGGGGTTTATGGACACCCTTATTCTTTATCATTTGTCCTACAGACTGAATGGCTGAGGAACTTGGTTTCATGAAAGTGTAGGAGATGGTGTGTGTTAGAGAATGAAGAAGAATGAGATTGCTATAGATGAATCAGCATTTCATTTATGCCCAGCCCTCACCTCCCTTTCTGCCTCCACTATAGAGATTTGAAAGCTAAATATTGCTTTCTCAACTCTTTAGCAATTCAGGATATCATATGACCCAGTTCTGACCCAAGAGAATAGTGCTATGGGGCTTTTGGTAAAACATATGTTTTCTTTATTGATCAGAACAGATGTGTCTGGCATAGCCTTGAATGCAGACGTGATGGAGATGCAGCAGCGGTCTTGAGAGCATGGGGAAAAGGATAACATCTGCCCTCTATCTTCAAGATGCTAAAGTGAAGCCAGCAACGGCTAACCTCTCTGGCCTTCTTGTTATGTGAGAAAAATAAAATCCTATTCATTTAAGCCCCTTGAATTGGCATTTCTGATACTATTAGATGAATACAACCCTTACTGTAAACAACCCAGTGCTGGGAACCAGAATGTTGCCAAGTGCGAGGAGTATCCTCTTTGGTTTATCTGGCAAAAGTTATACAAGCAAAAGTTGACTCAAACAATGAAGATAGTTTGGGCTTTCAGTTGTTCATAACCAAACAAATGAAATTTCACGTACCCGGTAATCCAGACTGGAGTGACCCAAACTGATTAATTCTCAATTAAGATCTTTAATTTAAAAGACTTTGAACCTTTGAGCCCAGTTTTTAAATACTCCTTTGGATTCCAAATGGCAAGATACTAGGAGCAAACCGAATACAGCAACATATTTAAAAGATTATACACCACGATCAAGTGGGCTTCATCTCAGGGGCACAGGGATGGTTCAACATGCGCAAATCAACTAATGTGATACACTACATGTGCAAATCAATTAATGTGATACAGCACATAAACATTAAAAAAATAATCATATGATCATATCAATAGATGCAGAAAAAGCCTTCGACAAAATACAGCATCCATTTATGATCAAAACACTCAACAAAATCAGTATAGAAGGAAAGTACCTTAAAGTTATAAAGGCCATCTATTACAAACCCTCAGCAAGCATTATACTTAATGGTGAAAAACTAAAAACCTTCCCTCTAAGATTAGGAACAAGGCAAGGCTGGCTGTTCACTATCGCCACTGCTACTCAACATAACATTGGAGGTCCCAGTGAGTGCAGTTAGGCAAGAGAAAGTTATAAAAGGCATCCAAATAGGAAACGAAGAAGTCAAACTGTCAATATATGCAGATGACATGATTCTCTATATAGAAAACCCTAAAGACTCCACAAGAACACTACTAGAAACAATAAGCAAATACAGTAAAGTCTCTGGATACAAAATCAACGTTCAAAATTCCATAGTGTTCCTATACGCTAATAATGAAGTGTCAGAAAAAAAGTGGAAAAAATAATTCCTTTTGCAATTGCAACAACAACAAAATAAAATACGTAGGAATAAATCTAACAAAACATATCAAGGACCTATATAATGAAAACTACAAGACTCTATTAAAAGAAATCGAAGAAGGTACAAAGAAATGGAAAGATATTCCATGTTCTTGGATTGGAAGAATCAACATA